ACTCAGCCCTAACTCAGCCCTAACTCAGCCCTAACTCAGCCCTAGGCAGATTGTTCAACCAAAAAAAAAAAACATTCATACAAATTTTATTCAAAAATTACTTACATTTTAAAAGTTAAGCAACACAACTGCACAGGGACATCACTACAGATAAGTGTTGCAAGTTACTCCTCTGTAGTCATACCAGACAAACAGACTCTGCAAAGTCTACACATGGTGCATTGAAACAGACAGAAGGACGGGCTGCACTGGGTTGAAGACTATAATGTCCAGGAACCACTGGTAGAACGAGCCCAAGGGAGGAAGAGTAAAGTGCCAAGTTCGGTTTGACACAGTTGTGAGCCAATGTCGAGTCAGTAGACCTGGAGGACATTCCAAGCAGGAAAGATAGCAGCAAGGAGGAATTAGGAGTTCCAGCCATATGACGAACATCTGGAGAGCCAACAGATCTGCAACCTCTTAGCATGCCAGTTAATAAAAGCCCCTGGAGGACCAGCTTAGTGGATAGACCTTAGAGGACCCACAGAACAGAGCATAAGGAGCACAAGCAGACCTGAAATCAAAGGCAGTACTGATAGAAGGGCAAATTCTATGACCACAACAAGACAGCCTTAATCAACAACCATGGCTTAAACTACAGAGATTTCAACACTCCCTGCACTAGATGTACACATCGCATTACAAGACAAGTTATAAATATAGATGACTCAGTCAAGACAAATACATTTATACAAAAACAAAATACAAGTTATCCCCAGTGAAGACCTGGTCTCCTAGACAACCGGGGCCAGACCACAGGAACCAGTTGAGTCCTCTGCACAATGTGACTTTGCTGCAGCCTGTATGGTTGCTGGTTTCGTCTGGCCAGAGGAACTCCCAACTGAGCCTGGTTTCTCCCAAGGTTTTTTCTCCATTCTGTCACCAATGGAGTTTTGGTTCCTTGCCGCCTGTCGCCTCTGGCTTGCTTAGTTGAACTGAATTCTGTGATGTCATCATCCAGCTCAGTTCAGTTTAACTGATGTTCAATGATGATGAACTGCCTTTAACTGAAAGTTGAGTGTTCACTATTGTCATTTTGAATTATTGACATACTATTTTCCCATTTCATGCCTATCATTGGTTGATCAGGATGTACAGAAGGATGGCCATGATTCCCAGCGGCTTTGGAGAGTTTGGCTTAACCCAGTAAAGAGAATATATATAAGATTCAATTGAGTTTCAGTTGGCAGTTTACTGAAGAAAGCTCTCCACATCTCTTGAGCTCGAAGAGCAAACAAGCCTAGAAGAGCATAATTCTGGAGAATGAGCACTCACCTATGAAACCCTCAATGAATACAAGTGAGCTGCCATTAAGGAACGGGACAGGATCACATCCAACTCATCTAAGCAGCTGCCCAGCTCACCTGGAAGACATGGAATGAGTTTTGTGGTTTACACTTAACCCTAATGTCTCAAAGGAGATGCATAAAGAGCATATTTCCAAGTATTTAAGAAAAGGAAACCCGTTCAAGGTGAGCTTGAGAGAGAGAGAGAAGAGGGCATCAGTGCCTGGTTGATTCTAGTCTCAGCCATCATGCCCACGGATCGCTGGCTGAACATCTGATGCATACGGCACACAAAACTGGAAACATTACAGGAGTTTCCAAGTCGTCATCTGATTGGTGGAATTATATAGGATTTCTGGGAGATGCGCCACGTTCTTTAACATTCCACCTGGAAACAAATACGCCATGACACCAAACTCCCTCATGGAAGAAAGCGGTCATGTTTACAGCTGTGACAATGAGCACTTAGGATCAACTAAAGGCTGGTTTTCAAAAGTATGTGAAATATGTAAAGTTCACAGCATAGATGCTTGGAGTACTTCAGTATTTACTTGAATAATCCTCACATCATCAATGTAAAGGATAATGCATCCAACTCGGATAATGGTCCATGTGAGGTTACCATGGATCTTATATGCATGCAAATTCAAAAGTTGTTTAAATAGAAATTTATAGCTCAGGATAGAGAAAACAAACATGCTTGTTTGGCATGTGGTGTGGAAGAAAGTGAAGTCATGTCCTCTAGTAGAATCAAGGTCTCAATCAAGCCAAAGATGAGCAGACAGCAGCTTCAGATTTGGGACTATGGAGATAAACCACTGTACGCAAATGTGGGTGGAGGGCAGAGAACATTCATAACAAATAAAAATAAAATAAAAAGCCTTATCTGCACTTGCCTTCCTTCATGAGTCAGGTCTCCACACAAGGGCTG